GTTAAAATAACCATAAGCTATGACATTTATTCAGAAAGGAAGGGGAATTTTATAAGCATATGAGCATATGCTGTAACTGACCTTAACGGGAATAAACGTACATCTCCTTGTCAAACATTATGTGAACATAATGCTTCATTCTTTCTTCTACAGAAACAAATGAAAGAGCTATGTCTATCGTGGGGGGTGGGAGGAAGGAGAGGAGGTAGGAGAAATAATATAAAAAAAAGAAAACGAATATTGAACGAAGCTATAAAAGAGACGAGACTTTCAACTTTTTATTAAGATCTCTGAAGTACACATATAACCTAGTTTTTGCTTAGAAAAAAAAAACGTATTTGATAGAAGTGGCTATCTGTAGCCTAAATTTATCAAGCCGCTGTTCCACAAATACCACTCAGGTCATGTGGGGCATCTTTTTTCCACAAAAGACACATACCCATGTTCTCGGAGCCATTCTTCCCTGGCCAGGCAGCAGGAACATAAGTGGGAACTTTCATTTGTTTGACATTACTCTTATCTCCTTTCAAAAGGGACTTTGTACTTATAAATACACATCCAAACTATCATGTGAATAAAGACAACCCCAAGTCATTACACAGTGGAAATGAAACAGAATGCTTCCTTAGCTCCCAGTTACCCAGGCATGTGCCAACATCCATTTCTAAAGATGTAGTTGGCAAAAATAAAGACTCATTCTAATTATATTTAATACTTGTAATTTTTATGGCAATGCAATAAATATGTAACGCTGATATACAGGAGCAAACAGGATGAGTTCCCGCTAAGATTTGTTTTTTGCAATGCATTCTTCAACTGCTGTCATGACAAAAAAGAGAAAAAATAGAATTTGCTTGCATACAGGGGACACCAAGACAACTGCTCAGATCACAGATAAAGTGAGCAGTGGTCTAGGGCAAAAGACTGCTACCATCAGCCACATAGATGTCAGTAGGTAGCTACTAATTAACAGTAGCTGTTAACAGGAGTAGGGACAAAATGGGTCTTTCCTAAGGGAAGCAGTGACCAGAGCTCTCTTTTCTTTCCTCATACTCTTCCTTTGGAAGCAGAGACTCTGCTCCTGCCACGATTTCGCATTCCTAGGACAGCAACAGCAATTTTGCCGAGCAGCTCTCTGTAAATCTAATTCAGTCCAAATATCCAGAAATGAAATCTTCCAAGAACTTCTAGGCACTCTTTACTCATCAGGTCTGTGTTTCACAGACTTTATCGGATAAAAAGGTTTGAAACTCTACAGTTTCAACAGTATCAATTATAACTGATCAGGGGTAAGAAACACTTGAATGTGGAAGTTTCTTCCTTCACTTTCAGAAAAAACAAGAAAACTCCTTTTCTCACTGCATAGGCACTTTTGTTTCTTTGGCCTTGAGCATGTAGGAGAGCTGATGTTGCCTCTCAAAGCCCTTTGAAGAATTAAGTTATGGATGGCACCAGGCACCAGTGACAAATCAATTCTTGCCAGAGATGGATTTGGGAGATTCTGCAGGTGATATTACCAGCTGGAAGGAGGAACAGATATGCCTCCAAAGGACAGTTAGTTACAACTAGACATATTACAAAGGGATTTAAACCTCCCTATTGCTCGAGGGGGTGGGGGAAATGATAGTAAAGAAAGCATTTGAGTGAGAATACACAAGATGAAAAGCAGCATTGAAATGTAGGAGCTGTCCTATAAGCGCGATGAAGAGCAAAGACTCCATCTGTGCCACCCCTACCCCCAAGTCTTAATCCTAGAAAAAAATTATCCAAGAGGACTGTGAAACTGATAGCAGCCAAGCTATATGATTGTTGAAAGGAATTACAGAGTAAAGCAGAATAACGTTATAAGAATTTTAAAAATCATGCTTGTGAGAATTAACTAATATGACAAATAAGGTACAGCTAGAGTTATCATCAACATCAACACAACTGGTCATTTGTCTTTACCCTTACTATAACATGAATCTTTTGTTTATTGGTTCAATTTACAGAAGTCAACACCAAAATTAAAACTTCCTAAAAAATTACAATAGCCCCATATTTTCCAAACATATTAGGATTGTTTCATTTTTATCTGTTGTTAGAGTAACAAAGTTGAAATAATTCTGTATAAAATACAAATACCACTTTTCATATTTTCCCTATTGAAGTGTTCAGCACTGTTAAACATGCAACACAATATATTTTCTTTAAGAAAAAGATGCCCAATTGGACAGCAGTAGTTATTATGATCTTAGAGGTCTTTGACGGGACTGCATTTCTGCTACTTTTAGTGCTTTCATTGCCTTGGCCCTTTAGATTTTGTTAAAAATATTCAATGCAAGCTTTAACTGAAAATATTCACCAAAGTTCAGTTTAAACAAAAATTAAATGTTTACTATTCTAAAATATAAAATCTTAGCAAGATATGAGATAAGCAAAATCTGGGCATCGTCAATTAGGCAACTTGGCCAAGGCCAGTAATTACAACCATGCTAAACTGCACTTAATTTCTGCAGCAGTGGCATTTCACAGAAAGCAAGGTGCAAAGCTGAAGGAATAAAAGTCAACATAGTGACTTTTCTTACCAGCAGTTTCTAGTATGTCTGCTGGGAAAAATGCTTAACATGCACCTAGGTGATGCAGCCAGCCAGTATGGGACTGACAGAAGAGCAGTGCACAAGCTCTTACCAAGAGCTTCAACAAAGAAGCTGGACAGGAGCATCTGCATATCCCACTGCAGCAACCCATGCAGACAAACTGCTATTATCCTATATGATCCTACATTTTCAATGCAAATTGGCAGAGAAGCTTCATTTGGCTCAAACAGAATACAGTCCAAAACACAACAAAATCATCACAAGTCCCCTGATGCACTTTTGCAACCTCTTGCCCAGAGGGTTCCAGCCCTCAAAGCTTCATCTGACCACACCAGATTTCATTCCAATAGGAAGTTCCTACTCCATACCTCCAAGCACATTAAGGTGATGTCAGCTTGGGCGATATGACTGTGTGTCTTTTGCACGTTCTTTTCTCTCCTAAGTCCTTTATCAGGACTGTTAGCAAAATCCCTTGCCATTATTGAGTCTGATCTAAGTAGTAAGCTAAGAAAATCAAATTAATGTCATTCTCAGTAACATTTAGAAACTGCAAGCTAAGAATCTGCCACTTATTCCCAGTAACTCAAAGCATATTATATTGAAAGAAGCTTTACAATAAAACATATTGATTTTGTCAGGTTTGGCCTTCCCCTCCCCCCCCCCCCCCCCCAGCCAACATACGTTGCATGTTCTATATTTGTGGGACTACATATATGCAAGTTTCACTGCAGTAACTCTGACTTGCCAAAGAGATGTTGAGAGAAAGCAATTTAACATGGGATAAAATCTGTCTCAGATCAAAATACTGGGTCAAGAAAAATCTTGTGAGTAATGCGGTATACTAAAAGCATTGATTGTATATTTATATACAGAACTGATAGGTAGCTGCATGCTTGAATAAATTTGTTGAAATCGTTCTATTACAGAGGGGAAAAACTACCAAATGCCAAGAATTACACTAATTAAAGTATAGCAGCTATGTAAGTTTTTTAGGTTCCAAAATATTTATATAATTCATTTTACCTAAAGTCCAGATTCTCACTGATATCCCAATAGCTAGCTGAAATTGTTTGAAAAGCGATAAAGAGTTTGAAAAGGGATGTTTTCAAAGCAGACTTCGAAATAATAAAAAGGCAAGAAATTCTCTGTCCCCAAACACAAAGTATTGGAGCATTACCCTGAGACTGACAGGCTTCTCTGCAATTTACTGTAATTTGTGTAATACCCAGTCAGTAGGGCTTAGCTTATGCCAATGCTTTGTTCACAACTAAGCCTAATGACAGAATTCATTTCAATTTACTCTCTGAGAAGACAAAACGGTCAATTTCTTACCATTCAGAATCAACACTTTTCATCACCTATACCCTTTCTCATTATGAAAATAATTAGATTGCTACAGAGTCAGTTCAGCATATGAAAAATGACATGAAATCCTTCATAGCTGTTTTTTTCTCCTTGAATTTAGTAACAGCGTTGGCTCAAAATATGGTGCTAACTGCTTTAGGTTTTTAGGTTTGGTTTAGCAAATATAATAAAAGACATACTATCTTAGAAGGCTTCTATGGTTACTTTCAATGCACTTCTGATGCACCCAAGAACGACTCTTTGGACATCCGTGACAATATTTCTAACCTCAGGTATGTAATTTCTGCTCCTCCTGAGCTGGTACTGATCAAAAACAAAAAAAGTCTACGATGCATTTTCCTTTATCATGAAAAAGGAACTTGCAGCTCCAGAAGCCAGAAATAAGCTCATCTCTCCTCTCACACAGAAATAACTTTCAAAGTTGGCAGGAAAACCTAGTTTTCTCCACATCCACTGCTACAGAAAAGTGACTATACTCTCATATGAACATGTTATATAAACTTTTAAACCAGTGAAAAGTTTCCACATGGAGGAAAAAAAAAAAAAAAAATTCCAACCCAGTCAGTAAATATTTTACAATATTTTATACTCGTGAAACAGGTACTAAAAAAAAAAACAAAAAAAATACAAAAAAAAAAACAAAACCCAGACACACAAAGAAAAAACAAAAAAAATCCAGTCCTTCAGAGTTCAGAGGTCAATTTTCCATCCTAAACCCATGCAGACTAAAGGTTTACTTTACTATATGGATTGAAAAACAAAATACAGGATTCACTTATTTGCCAGAGATTAAATGGGGCTTTGTTAAAGCAACTACTATTAATAAACTTAGCAATAGAACATTATTAAAGCAAAAACAAAAATAACACAAGTTCATACTGCTAAAAATTACACAAGTTTCACAGATATATATATGAGCTTCTCAAGTACCATGAGAAAACTGAACATGAAGAAAGAGTCAAAGTTTGTAAATAAGATTTCATATAAAGCAAATCACAAGAAGTCTTAACATTGGCACCTGATTGCATTTAGACAAAAACATGTCAAGGTACATACCTGTAAATCTGCTGAATATGTTCAGCTTTGATTTCCTTGAGAATTTCATGGTAGGTATGAGCGTTATTTGGTTCTTGAGATGGTGAGGGAGAAGCACATTTCTTGCGTGCATAATATCCTATCAGAATTCCAAAAATAAATAAAATCAAAGCAGTGCAAAATACTTTCAGTATCTGAAAAAAACTGCAGCGGTTACTCTTTGGTGCCTGTCTCGTATAGTGCGAGATATAGTCGGGGTCTTCCTGAAGCCGCTGGAATCTTCCTTTTGGAGAAGATGAAGGCTGGATGGGCTCAAGATCAAGGTCAGGGCTCTGTGAGTTTCCCAGGTGATGCTGGACTGCACCATCCAGTTGGAAATGGTCAAAGCCAGGCTCCTCCAGCTCTTTTTCCATGTCCCATTCCAGTTCCAGTGCTGTAGCTTGGAGCTCATCGTTGTCAAGGTATGGAGAATGACCCTGTGCTCTCTGGTCTGCATTTACTTTGTGATAGGCCATCTTTTTATCTATTAAAACAAAATTTAAAAATATTTGTTTCCTTCTGTATGAACAATCTATTCTTTGTAAACCCAGGAGAACTAAACGTACACAATACAAAGCATAAACAGGGTTCTTAGTATTTCACTTTCCCCATTTCCATTGTCCTGCCTTCTTTTGTAGGATCAGAACCTTGAACCTTGTCAGAGAGAAAATATGATATTTAAGGGAATATAATATATTGTAGGAATATGAATAAAGAGAATTTACAAGTGCCGAAGGCAAAGCACAAAAGTTAGCCTATTATATTGTCAGTTCCCAAGATAATAATAACAAAATGAAAAAAGAAATCAAGTGAAGGCACAGTTTCCAAAACAATTATTTATGGCCTTAAAGTAATTTTAAAGCTTAACAACTGTGTGCATCAACTTCATTTCACACACCATACAAAATAATGCTGTTAAAGTTTAAAAAGTAGAATTAAGAGAACTTGCCTGATCTGATTCTAAACACAAGGAAATAGTAAGTTAAAAAAGAAATTTCAGGGTGACACTGTACTTACACATCAATAAAAGGCTTTCATTTAGATGGAGCATTCTATTATTTATAGGTATTTTAAATGCATATTTCCTGAATGACTGATGAATTTACTTAGAAATTGTCCCAGCTGTTTTGCTCCACTTATTTTTCCCATTTTAATGAATCAAAAGCACTGCCAGGTAAGTATTTATATCAAAATCATTCCCTTAATAGCAAGGCATATCTGTGGTACTTCTAGATATTTCTGTGGAAGTATGAGCTCCCTAAAGAGAACTCTGACCTCCAGTACAAACATTCAAAGTCAATTTTCAACAAATCATTTCTACCAGACTGCAACAATAGGGTGCCATTTTCCTCCATACTTTGACAATAGCTATTCCAACACATAAAGCATCTGTAATTTAGGGCTTTTCAAACATGAGATTCACTCATCAATTAGACTAAATGAAGATAAAGATATTAAACCTCTCACAGTGATGGATATTGGACTGACATATGCAACACTACATTATCCCTCCATTTTTACATTTTAAGTCTTTTTCTTTCTCTAAGACTTACCTCCAGAAAACAGTACTGAGGCCACATAATAGATGAACCTCCTCTAATGGCAAAGAATTTAGCTTTTGAAGCTCTCTTCAGAGACCAGACTGTTAGAAATCACTGATATAATGAAACCACCTATTGTCCACTGAAAGACTGTCCAGCTCTGTACAATGCCAACTTGGTCCTTGAACAGCTACTTAATATCCCTTGCCTACATATCTTGCCAGGTAGTCTAGAAACAGTCAAGAGAGCCCATAAATGAGGTATACGTTTTAAGTGCAGCTATTGTATACACTTTACAAATGAGTTCTCTGTCTGCAGTCCAAATTTTTTCATATGAAGCGAAAGCAACAGAGTTTAAAATCAGTGTGAAAATCTGCATTATTTAAATAATGATAAAAGAAAGTTAGTCTCTAAATTGCGGTTGAGTCAACAAATTATTTATGCAACCAAAGCCATTCTGGCTGAAGTTTATGGACTTTGTTAGCCCAACCCTCAGGCTTGTGAAGGTCTCTCTGAACTTGCAGTGCTACAATTTCACACTCCAGTATGTAAAGGATAGCCACAAAGAAGATGAAGACTCCCTTACTATATGAGTCACAAGGAGAAGATGAGGGGTAATGGGTACAAGTTACTCCTGGGGAGATTCTGACTGGACGAAAGAGGAGAATTCTTCACCACAAGATGAGCCATTGGAATAAACTCCCCAGTGAAGTGGTGGACTCCCCAGTGTTGGACACTTAAGATTCAGCTGTACAGGGAGTTGGGCCACCCTGACTAGATGGTACTTTTTCCAAGAAAGGTTGGGCCAGATGATCCTTGAGGTCCCTTCCAACCTGGTATTCTATGATTTTTTGATTATATGATTGTATCCAGCAGGTCCACCTCTTCCCCCACAGTTTTGTGTCACAACAGGTGCCCAACAACCTCATTTTTCCAACTCCATTGCATACTGTTCATCAGAAATTAAAGGCAAGTGTTTTGTCCTTTAAAAGCTAAACCAACCATCACCATATTACAAAAATACATAATTTTGATTCTAGAGTTACTATAGTCATTTAACAATATTACACATAAAACAGGAATTAAGGCAGTTTATCATATGCAATTGCATGGTAAATACCAATTTTTCTGAGGTTATAAATGTAGACCATTGCATATATGTGGCAGTAACCTTTTCTCTATGACATTTTAAAATTGTATGCTATTGTTCAATGCAGTGTATTGATAAAGGTTATTTAAGTCTATATATAAAAGAAAGATGCTATGATTTTTTTAAATGGTTGTTAACATAGATGAGTAGTAATCACATCCCACAGCTTAGTATCTCAACAATCCAAGTTTCATATAAAGCACCCAAATCAGTTATCTCACTCTGGGAGGAAAACAACACAAAAATCAAAAATAAAACAGAAAGCCAAAACCAACACAATTGAGCCTCCCCTCCCCCCGCTATGTAAACTAAAATAAAAAATTAGTATTCAATTCAGTTTTATACTTGACACCAGTCTTTGGAGTACGGGATCTTCTCATCAACACATGTGAAAGAATGCAAGAGTAGTTCCAGTGAATTTGTTCACTTTTCTGCTCATATTGCCAAGTTCATTATTTGAGTGTAAGGACATAGCACAATTTACCACTTACCACAAAGTACCTGAGATTAGGGCCTGCATTGTATTTAGCCATGCCAACAGCGATTTTATAAAGGGGTCTTCTTGTTTGCAATGCACAAGTCATTTGTGCCATGTAATCTATACTATCAGTTTGATTTAGTAATTGGCTAATTAAAGAAGTACGTGTGACTTACAGATCCAGTATTAAATTTAATTTTAGGCAGGAATTAGAAGGATAAGGAAAACACTACATAGAGAATCATAAAAAACAGAGGACTGCAGTATGGATAAACTATATGAAGTCAAGGAGAAAAAAACAAACAAACAAACAAACCCCACTGTAATAGTCCAGTTTGGTCTTCTCTATGGTACAGACCATAAAATGAACATATTTTTGAAAGACACTTTTTGAAGTTTCAGGAGATAGAAAAATTCATCCCATATGCCAGCAAGCTGTTTCAGCATTTAATTGTTGTTAAGTACCTGTTTTATTATTAAGATAAAAAAGCAACTGCAAAATGCCAGAAGTCTGTATGAGCACTAAGTGAGCTTTAAAGCCATTCTATAGGGACAGCAAAGGGGATCATAAACTCTGCAATACTGGGCAGAGCCATGCTGATGACCGATAAAGTTGATATGGATTTCTACACTCCCACATATCTGTGGGGAGAATGTTTATAGAAAGTTACCAAATCATTGCTAAATATCCTTTCAATTAACTGTACACAAGAAATCAGGAGAGTCAGCTTTATCAGACTGTTATTGCCCATTTCAAAACTATCTACCAGTTCTTTGATCTTAAAAATAATGCATTTATGCATCTACGCATCTACACCCTAATAGGTACATCTTGTTAAAAAAAAAAACAAAAAGAAAAACAAAAAGAAAACAAAACACACAAACTTTTTTTTTGGGATACCTTTCCTGCTTGAATGCTTTATCAATGAAGCCTTTGAAAACTATATAATAAGGACTATGTGAAACGTGTTGCATCTGTTACCACTGCCACTCTCCGATACCTCCACAACAGGAAGGTCAGCTTATATGAACCATGAAACCAAGGAAAGACCAATATGAATATATTATAGTAAATTATTTGTGACTGGTGCTGTAGTTGTTAAATCCAGTTCATAAATAGCTGAGACAATTAGCAGGCTCATTCACAGCAAGAAAAGCAGCAAGTGTTAACATGTTGCCCACAGTGAATACCTTCTTGGGCCATTTAGTGTTCACTACTGAAAAGGCAAATTTTACCCAGGAACTGTACTACAGACATGGCCTCTTTCGATAATCATAAAACCAGAAATCCAGGGTTGTTCATTAATCTCAATTTTAAAGGTTCTTTAATTTTCATTTTCTTCTCAGTATCTTCTATAAAGAGTGCTTTTGCTTAGTCCTTGAAATCATTCTTTATCTAGACAAACCCCCAAAGCAAATATAATGTCACCAGTTTGAAGGGGAGGTAGCTGTAGCTAACATAGAAATCAACACCCACTCACATACAAGTCTTTAAAGTGTATCCGACAATAATTTAGTACTTAGTTAAATGAGATGATGCCAAGTTTCAGGCCTAGACAAATTTCTTTAGTTATAAATCCCTGACAAAAGCTGTTTGCAGAAGAGATTACAATGTCCTTGTCAACAGCAACATTACATTACACTGTAATTCAAGAAATAAAGTCATACCTGCCATCATCAGTTCCTTAATTTTCTGCATTAACGGCTTATGCCTCACGTTTGGGATATGGGCTTGGCAACCAGATCAGTTACAGTAGGGAAATTAAGTTCCTTGTCACCATTCACAACCGCCATATAAAAACAAATGACAAAGCTAATTGATCACATTTCAGTAGCTGACTTAAGACAAACACAATACGAAAGAGTGTGCAGTGCTGTAGAAGAAGACAACAGAGAAGTCAGACTTGAAAAAAGTGGTGTGTAGAACACAGCTAAATTGAGTCCAAGTTGTCTTTTCATGCAACACTATTGATTACTTTCTGGCATACATAAGTGACATAGAATATTTAACTTCTTCAAAATCTCTCACCAATTTTATTATATTGTTAACAGCAGCATGGACCAGGACTCTATTAATAACAACACAAAGAATGACTATATGACAAGAACAGGGTCTATAATGCACCCTGACTGATATGACTTATGGACAATGATGCCCAGTTGTAAATAAGATTGAACTTGCCTGTTGAAGCAGGGATCAAATGTGTCAGCTGCTTGAGCTGTAGCAGCCTGGGCCATCCAGGTGTGCACAGGTACATGTATGTATTTTCCTGCTGATTTTTCAGAACCTTTGAAGTCCTGGGACTCAGAGAAAG